GTAAGATTTAATTTAGTTTAATTTAATTTTTAATAAAAAATAAAAATCTAACTAAATCACATAAAAATTATGATTAACAACAAATTAGTATATTAAAATAATTTAGATTAATTTTTTAATACTACTAATTAAATAAACTTAATTATATAAAAAAACTAACACACTCATTTATTAAGTTCTCTTATTTTTTTTTAATGGACATATTTCTTTAAAATTTGAATAATATTATTATATATTTTACTTTGTAGATTTTTATTTATAATAATCTCTTTTATATAAAATAAGAAGTTAAAATATTTATATTTTTCGAACAAATAAATTTACATATGAACGGATATATATATATATATATAATGAGAAGGAAATATTTACATTAATATAAATATTTATTTAAGAAAATTAGCATAATATACAATATGTATATTTTAATAAATTTGATGACAAAAATTATAAATTTTTTATTATAATCAAAGTAATTTTTATAATTTATTATGTGTAAGATTTAATTTAATTTAATTTAAATTTAAATAAAAAAAGAAAAACCTAACTAAATCACGTAGAAATTATTATTAATATCAGGTTAGTATATTAACATAATATACATCAGATTATTAATACTACTAATTAAATAAACTTAATTTTGGGAAAAAGTTGATATACTCATTTATTAACTTCTATTATTTTACTTTTTCAATAGACATATATTTTTAAAATTTGAATAATGTTATTATATATTTTAATTTGTAAGTCTTTATATATAATAATCTCTTTTAATGTAAAATAAGAAGTTAAAAATTTTATTATAAAAATATACATTAGTTGAATAAATGAATACACATATAAGTATATATATATATATATATATATATATCACAAAAAAGAAATATTTATATTAATATAAATATTTATTTAATAAAATTAGCATGATATACATAATATATATATTTTATAAAGTTGATAACAAAAATTATTAAATTTTTTATTATAATGAAAGTATTTTTTTTATTATCTTCTATTTTGTTGAATTAAGCTTATTAAAAATAATAAATATATTAAATTAAAATAAAATTTTTAACTTACAATGTATAAAATTTTATTTGATTTATTTTAATTTTTAATACAAGAACAAAAATCTAACTAAGTCACATAAAAAATATTATTAACATCGTATTAGTATATTAAAATAATTTAGATTAATTTTATTATTTTACTAATTAAATAAACTTAATTTTATAAAAAAACTGATACACTCATTTATTAAGTTCTATCTGAAGAATATTATTATATGTTTTAATTTATAAATTTTTATTTATAATAATCTCTTTTATATAAAATAAAAATTTAAAAAATTTATTATAAAAATTTATATTATTCAAACAAACAAATGTACATATGAGAATATATATATATATATATATATATATATATATCATATGAAAAAAAAAACTTACCTTAATATAAATATTTATTTAAAAAAATTAACATAAATTTATTTTATTATATATTAATTAAATAAAGTTAAAGACGAAAATTGTTAATTATTTTATTATAATTAAAATATTATTTATTATCATATTTTTTTTGAATTAAGCTAATAAAAATAAATAAATATATTAAATTTAAATATAAATTATAACTTATAATGTGTAAGATTTAATTTAATTTAATTTAATTTTAAATATAAGAACAAAAATTTAACTAAATCACGTAAAAAATATGATTAACAACGGGTTAATATATTAAAACAATTTAGACCAATTTTTTTAATATTACTAATTAAATAAATTTAGTTTTATGAAAAACCTTTCACACTCATTTATTAAATTCTCTTATTTTACTTTTTCATTGGACAAATTTTTTAAAATTTAAATAATATTATTATATATTTTAATTTGTAAATTTTTATTTATAATAATCTATGTTATATAGAAGATGTGAATAAATTTATTTTAAAAATTTATATTATTTAAACAAACAAATGCACATACAAAATATATATATATATATATATATATATATATATATATATCTCACGGAGAAGGAAATATTTATGTTAATAAAAATTACTTATTTCAAAAAATTAGTATAATATATATAATATGTATATTTTAATAATTTTGATGTTAAAAATTATTAACTTTTTATTACAATCAAAGTATTTTTTTTATTATCTTCTATTTTATTGAATTAAACTAATAGAAAAATGATAAATATATTAAATTTAATTATAAATTATAACTTATAATGTGTAAGATTTAATTTAATTTAATTTTAAATACAAGAATAAAAATCTAACTAAATCACGTAAAAGATATAATTAACAATATGTAAATATCTTAAAATAATTTAGATCAATTTTTTGTTATTACTAATTAAATAAACTTAATTTTATAGAAAAAACTGACACACTAAATTTGTAAGTTCTATTATTTTACTTTTTTAATGAATAGATTTTTTAAAAAGTGAAAAAATTTATTATAAAAATTTATATCATCGAACAAATAAATATATATATATATATGAAGATATATATATCACAGGAAGTAAATATTTACATTAATTTAAATATTTATTTGATAAATTTAGTATAATATATAGAATATGTATAAAGTTTATAATAAAAATAGAATAATTTATGTGACAAATATATGCAAATTTAATTATTGAATGATTTAAATTTATTTTATAATTTTTTTAGTGTAATTAAAATTTTAAAATTTAATATTATAAATTATTCTGTGCATTGTATGGGGCTAAGCATATATATATATATTAAATTTTAATTATTTAAATAAAATATAACAGTTTTTTACTTGAATAATTCTCTCTATGTATTCCTTTTCAATAATTTTATTAGTAATATAAGACTAAATTAAGAAAATCTTAACTCTCAACTAACTCTTGCATTTTAACTAATTACACGGTTTAGTAATATACGAGAAGCTTTCCTAATGTCCAAACTCATTAATTAACGAATTTTTCTACCTATATATCTTTTGAAATTCATTCTATTATTTTTATAAAGTAAAAAATTAAATAAAAAATATATATTTATTATCTTTAAATATAAACGATAAAGAGAAGGAGGATTAAAATTATTCTTAATCAATGAACGCTTCTAAGGCTAAAGCAGCCTTTAGATAAATGGCTTTCTAAACATCTACCGGCACATAATAAAATCAAATAATAAAGTGCCCTTTTATTAAAAATTATAAAATTGAATATAATTTGATAAGCAAGTGTAGTGAGACCCAATTTTGTGGTGAACAAATGAAAAATGAAGTGATGAGAAGGAAATGAAAGGGATATTGAATGGGCATAGAAGCATGTGAAATGAAAAAGAAAGAGAGATAATAATTAAGGGGATGAAATGGTCCCTGCCTCCTAAGTAGCAACCACAAACCTTTAATGCAACTGTATCTGTGAGGGAGTGGATTGAGAAAAGGGCACTTCACATGGCACATGTGTGTAAGTGACTTCCCCTTTTCCTTTGGAAAACAACTTCCCCTCTGCCCCTTTGATCCATCCAAACATGTTGCACAATTTATAAGCCACACCTACTCAATTACAGGTGTCCCTTCATCTTACCCTTTTCATTGCACTCGCCAAATACCATAACTTGTGGCCAATCTTCACCCATCTTCTTATCAAATCAAATTATTTATGTCAAATAAACAATCATTGGACTCCAAAATTTAATGACCCAAAACTTATGCCTCCTACCCCTTCTCTTGTGCATAAATAAATTACCTAAAATACAACCAACAAACAAAATTCACAAAATCTTTCTGTCTTTACAATCCTACTTCCACATTTTGGATTCATCCTATCATCTATGTTCATTCTTTAATTGATGTATCACAATACCAAAAGCTTTCTTAACTTTACCAGAGATTCAGATATACGTCCCATGCTGATAACTGATGTAAACAAATCAATCTTAATCACCCACAAACCCTGTTTAGGAAACCAAAGGGACAATGAATCTGGTTGAACTTGAAATTGTTGTTCTTGATAACACTAGAGAAATCTCAAAAGTACACAGCTATGTTGGACGTTGGTGGCCGTCCTTGGTGAGCAATTTGTAGCTGGGCCCACCCAAATTCAACCAAATGAAATTAATTGCGATTAGTTAAATGCAGTCATCTTGTCAACTTGAGAGGAAAATAATAATACTAATGATCATTGGAAATAAAAAATTAAAATAAGGAGAATTTGAATGAAGGGTAAACGAATAATTTAGTTTGACGACTTTTTTGTCTATAGTTTAATTTTTAAATATAAGTGTGTGGATGTGTTATTTTTTAAATTTAAAAACTGTGCAATCCTTTTTTTTCTTCTTAAAAATGGTAATCAAATACATCCCAAATAAAAACATGTATTAAATGTTTTAATATAGTAAACAATCTCCAATTTTATTTTTTTTATTTGTCATTTTAAAATAATATATTCTTATCTCAGTATCTAAAACATTTATTACTTTTACTATCTTCCTTTCTTATTCACTCAATTAGGGGCATAATTAAAAAAAAAAAACATTTTTTCATAACAAATTCAGGAAAAGGAAAGCTGATACGCTATTCTTCATTTTCTTTCTCATCTTCACCTCAAAGTCAACTAAGGCCTAATTAAACTTTCCTCTTCTTTCCATTTTCCCACCCCACCATTCTCTTCAATCTTCATTCAACCCAGGGTACCTTCTTTTCTCCCTTAGTGGCAATTAAAAAAAAAAAAAGGGAAAAAAATTAACCCCTTAACTTCACTCCCTTGCCCCACCAATTTTCTCCATCTGCATCCTCTTTTTTACACATACAAAACAAAACAAAACACAATTATGTACAACCCGCCAACATGTATTTAACCATTCTCTTTCAACACCTCTGACAAAAACAATCACTCACTCTTCTTCCTCCTTCTTCTCCTTCTACCCTTCAGTCCCCTGTATTAGATCCCCGTTATTTTATTTTTTTTTAAATTCCAATACCCTTCTCATCTCTCTCTCATACTCTCTGCTTCCTCCTCTATCCTTACATCCAACAATTTAAAAAGATTCTTATTCTCTCTTCTCTCTTCTTTCTTCTCTCTTTACATCACAACCAAATACCAATCCACACTCTTTCTCCACTTCCCTTCCTACCCACCAACTTCCCTTCACAAAGTTTCAATCTTTTCCTCTCCCACTAACCAAAAACCGCGTCTTTCATCAACAAATCCAACTTTTCCGCATCTGGGTATTTTCCATTTTTTATTTTGTTTTCAATTTATTCTCTGTCACTAGTTGTCACTTGAGGCTCTGCCACGTGTTGCGGTTTTGAGGGAAATGTGGGATGTTTTCGTGGCTGGCAAGGATAGTGTCGGCGTGCTTGAGACCGGTGAGGCGCTATGCACGTATGAACAAGGATGATTTCGATGATGCATCCACAATTGGAGATGCTCTCATATGGTGTAAGGACCTTGAGAAGCACTCGTGTGGGGAATTTTCCTTCGCCGTGGTTCAGGCCAATGAAGTTATTGAGGATCATAGCCAGGTTGAGACCGGTTCTGATGCTGTATTCGTTGGTGTTTATGATGGACATGGTGGTCCTGAAGCTTCTCGCTTCATCAATGATAACCTCTTCCATAATCTCATGAGTGAGTCCTTTTTTGGAGGATTCTTAATTTGTTTGTTTTTTGTTTTAATGATTATAATTTGATGGAGGGTTTATCAATGTTGATATTTTGGACCCTTTTTGTTGCTTATGAGATTTTGGGTCTTGTTATTTGGAAGGGTCTTTAGTTTGGCTTATATGCTTCTGGCTGTTTTTTTTTTTTTTTTTTTTTTTTTTTTTTTTTAATTTCAGTGGTGTTTTTTTAAGGGAAACAATTATTGAATTTGCATGTATATATCCAAGAGGAGATAGGGAAAGTATTTTATTAGAAGTTAGAAACATCACAATTTTGATTTAGTTCATCCTCAATTTATCTTACTTTTGCTTTTGAGTTTTCCTCTTTTGTACCAAGCAATTATCATATGTCTCTCTCTCTCTCTCTCTTTTTCATTTTTTGTAATTTTAGAGCATATGTTTGAATTTTAAATTCTGATTGCTCGAACCCACGTCTTAGATAGAAAGCGGGTGTTTATGCATTTTTTTTCTTGATGTTTGGAAATGCATTTAGATTGGTTTTGGACAGGAATTTCATCCAAAATCAATTCTGACTTGAAGCAACGCTTGGGTAGCTTTTGTGTTAGGTTAAAAGTTTTATACTAAGTTTCACTACAAACTTGTTTTTAATATAAAAGTTTTCCGACATGCATGCTTAACTTCAAACTTACTTTTAACCAAAATTAATTTGACAAAACAAGAATTATCTGAAATCAAGTTGCCAAGCAGACACTGAAGTACAGTTTTATATTTTGGGTTTGCTTGGGTTGGAAAGTTGAGAAGACAGCAAAATTGGAATGAAGATCACTTAACACATGTTTGGATCATAACATAAGTTGAGAACTTCCACTCTCCTCAATTTTGACCTCGCCTCATACAACCAGGGCATCTACTAGACGAAGTATACCTAAGTGTGTCAGTTGAAATTAGTTTTTTTTTTTTTCTCTTTTAAATCTGTAATTTGGATTTGAATTGCTAGATGTACAGAAAATATGATGTTTCCCTTTTAAGGTATTTGGAAAATGGCGCACATAATATGGTGAGACCAAGGACACATGTGAATAGATCTACCTGCCAATTCTGGATTGATATGGTTTATGAAATACCATATTCTAGTTTCCATTTTCTCTTATTTCTGGTTCTTTTTCATATCTAAATTGGTAGGTATATACCTGTATTAGTTAACTTACATATACTTTTACTGCCTGAATGATGATGTGTGTATTTTTATTAACTTAGCTCCTTTTATCCCTATTGTTATTGTTTTTTGTGCATATCCTGATTGGTTTAGGAAGTTATTGTTATTGAAGTTTTGTGTCAAATCTCATTGTAGGGGTTGCTCAAGAAAATGGTTCTATCTCTGAAGATATTATCAGAAATGCTGTTTCTGCTACTGAAGATGGGTTTCTGACTCTTGTTCGAAGAAGTTATGGAATAAAGCCATTGATAGCAGCAATGGGTTCTTGTTGTCTGGTTGGTGTTGTTTGGAGAGGGACATTGTATATTGCGAATCTTGGAGACTCTCGTGCTGTAATTGGTTCTATAGGTAGATCTAACAAGATCGTTGCGGAACAGTTGACTAAAGAGCACAACGCTAGCAAAGAGGAGGTTAGACGAGAACTCAGATCTTTGCATCCAGAAGATTCGCAAATTGTAGTTATGAAACAAGGAACGTGGCGCATTAAAGGAATCATCCAGGTTTTCTTTTTCTTTTCTCTTTAGAGATAAAACTCTGTTAATGGTTTACGTTATTGCCTATTTTGTTTTGTTTTTGCTTCTGTTTCTATGTAATATTCTTCCATTCTGTGTATACACTGTCGAGGCTTTATGGGAATTAGTTTGCTTAGCATGGCATCCCATAACATATGTTATACGCTCATATTTTTGTTTTCACGCTTTATTATTTCTGCATAAATCATATTTTATAACTGCAGTCAATTTCTGTTCACATCCTTGCTAATAATTGTATTTGCTTATGTAATCAATTTCGCAATTATTAATGAGATGCCTGCTGTGTTGGTTGGGGTTGCTCATTGTAACATAAGTTTTCTTGTCCACCCCACAACTGAGATTAGGTATCCAGATCTATAGGAGATGCATATTTGAAGCGGCCAGAGTTTTCTTTTGATCCTTCATTCCCACGGTTCCACCTTCCTGAACCTATCCGCCGGCCCGTGCTGACAGCCGAACCATCTGTATGTTCAAGAGTTTTACAACCTAATGATAAGTTCATTATCTTTGCATCTGATGGGCTTTGGGAACACATGACAAATCAGGAAGCTGCTGAGATTGTTTATAACAATCCACGATCGGTATGCTTTTTCTACTAGACTTTACTTCTTTTTCCTTCCATCATCTTTGCCTTGGATATCAGAAGCTCTTAAGTTATTCTTTCATAAACCGTTTAATGAACAACCAAAAGCTGTCCCCCTTTGATTTTGGAGAGTATTTTGAGATGCGTATGTATGAAAAAGATTAAAAACAAATAAGAGAGAGAGATGATTGTATTCAATTTCACATACGGTATTAATTTTCAGATGTTTAAGTAACAACTGTTTTCTTATTGTGTGTTGTCCTTTATGAAATCCAGGGTATTGCAAGACGGCTTCTTAAGGCAGCTTTAAGCGAGGCAGCAAGGAAAAGGGAAATGAGATATAAAGACCTTCAGAAGATTGGAAAGGGGATCAGGCGTTTTTTCCATGATGATATCACTGTGATTGTTGTCTTCATTGACCATGAGCTGCACAGTAAGAAGGTTACGGTTCCTGAATTGTCCATCAAAGGGTTTATTGACACAGTTGGATCATCAAATTTTAGAAATTTCCGCGCATTGGATTGAGTACAAGGTTCTTTTCTAGAACTATAGCCAACAAACTTGACTGGCTTATGCTTCATTGTCCAAAAGGAAGCTAAGAAAATTCAATACTTCATTAGACATTTTTGCAGCATCTAATTGTTGTTTACTTTGAACATTTCTTCTCACTTTTAAAGGTTCTTCCTTGCTTAACTCTCAAACTATACCTTGTCTATTGGAAACACGTTTGCTGGTGATAAATGAGGAAATCCTTGTTTTTCTCTTTATTAATGATGATAAAATTTGCTGTGTGATTCTTTATATACCCTTAGTTTATTTTGATAATGTTGATAACCTGAAGCATGATTTAACTCTTGCTACAAAAAATATACTTTTACACGAGACTTTGGAGCCCCATTTGATCGATTTTTGAAGGAAATTTTTATGTGAAGCTTTGCTTTTTGCACTTTGGGAATGAAGCATCATCAAGCATGGTGCAGTCTCCATTTTAAACCAAGTTTGATAGTTTGGTTAAAAATAAGTTTCAAATTGCAAATTATTGGCTTTTGCGTTAAATTTTGACAAATTGATTATCTCTTATTTCCTGCGTAAACATGAAGCATTTAGCAAAGCCACCCTTTTCTATCAACACTTTCTTGTAGTGCAAATATCAAACATGTCATTATGTGTCTTTTTTCTTCTACCAAAGTCTTTCTTGCAATAAGAAGTGACGTATGAAAATTTGAAGTTTTTTTTTACATGAAAGTTGTCTATATTTGAATTTTGAAAAGGTGAAATGATTTGTCAGAAATCTGAAAATTGAAATCAACCTAAAAATAATCAAGATAGAATATGGTGGAAGTTACTTTACAAGTTCAAAATGCATTTATCTTCATTTGTTCGGTTTTCTCAATTTAATTTTGAAATAAAAGCAAAGAACTGATGGGTACCGTTGTCTTGGCACAACCGCCATTACCATTTTGAGGATATTATTCCCACGTTGTTATTTTCACAAGTTGTTGCAAGTTTAAAGTTAATTTTATCAAAGTTATTTATATCTAACTTCAAATCGAACAAACCCATAAATATTTTAATGATTTGTCAAAAACGTATACCCAAAGATATAATTCCGTATATCAACTTTATCGTTTTAATCCTAATTCTAGTGGAATTCCAACTCACTTTCTTTCATGGATCAATTAAACAAACGATACCTTTTCAGTGCAAGTGGTAAGTTTTCATCATCATACAATGGTGTGAATATAAGGATTCTTTGAAGACCGCACACTTTACTTTGCTTACTCGTCAATTTTCTTGTGTGTTAGCTGTCATAAAATCTAAAATCTATGTGATTCTCGAATCTGAGAGATGCTAAATGGTGATGGCAACAGTAGTTTGTCACATTTCCCCAGCAAAAGTTTCCATTTTTTCTAATTTTTGTTTTCAAGTTTCCAATTAATACCAACCACACATAGTGATAATAATGGATGATTAAACTCAACTTAGCATTCTTTTGATAATGTTAGTTAAGTAATTCTTCACTGATAAGGTTCGTTGTCTGCTTGCACTATTTCTAGCAAGTTACTTCAGGCTAATTTTTACCTTGTTCTTAAGTTATTGAGCGGTTCTGAATTATTACACGTGTATTTATGATTATAGACAATTATCATATAATACTTGACCATATTTTTAATTAATAAATAAAATTAAAAATTTTACGATATATTATATGATATTTACTTGAGACTATAAACATATGGTAGTTTCAACTATCCAACAATTACTTCCTTATAACGTATTCTTTACTTCCTAAACTGTGTATACACTGAGTCTTCAATTGCACGAATTCATCTTTTTTGAGACCAATTTTCTTTTATACGTTGTTACCTCTTACAGCTAAATTTTGAGTTCCAATGGTTGGTGCTCTCATTCTCTTATCCTGTGTGGTTTGGTGATCTTGTTCTCTAGTCCTCTCATACGTGGCAAGTTGTTATTCTTCTATATATGGCATTTTTGTGACCAAGAAGGTGAAAACTCATGCTATTCATATGACCCATTTTAACTTCCCCTCACTTCAGGGGAAAATGAACACTGTTGATAATGCGATAAGATCACATGATTGGGAATGTCTATTTCTACGTCTTTATTTTTATTGTCATTCTGATTTAATTCTTTTACATAAAACCTCTTTATTATTGTTATAGTTATAAGAAGAAAAAGCATTTTAGACAAAAATTACTTAAAAGGTTAGAAGGGAGTGATATATAATAGACAAATAGATGTAGCAATAGAAGGGTGTTATTTATAATATACCTAATTCATTAAGATTAATAAAGAAGTTATATGCTATAAATTTAATTCTAGAAAAATTTATAGTATTTGATGGTCCAATTGATGTCTTTTATATATATATATTGATTTTCATGGATGAAAAGTGAGTGTCTTGCTAACATATATATTATAGTAAATAAAGGTATAAAAAGAACTTAATAAAAAAATTTGAAAAAAAATATGTTTCTTATATTTGAACAAAAAAAAAAGCATTAGAAAGTATTTCTTATAAATAGAACTACAGGCAGTAAAATAACAAATTTAATAATTTATTTATTAAAACTAAGTTTTATTAATATCACTGTTAATTTATATCATAACATAATGAAAATATAAAATATTTTAGACATATAATTCAATAGTAGTTATTTAAATTATATCAACTTTTATATGAAAATAATTACCGGAAATATATTTTCTACAGTAATATTCTTATTACATTAAATATCATCCATTCAAATTATAATATATTTTAATAATAAAATTTAAACACAGCAAAAATAAAATAAAATAAAATCACACTCTTCTGCGGTGAATATTACACTTTAAGAGAACTTCAATTCAACTACGTTGTCATTTTATAAAATAAAAGTCACATGTTGATAGGTGAATTTCACATACTTCAGCGTTTTCTTTTTCTCACATGTTAGCTCTTGTCACCCACAATTAATTACTCGATATTCTAAAATTTTAATTTCTTTTTGTTTCAAATTTAAAATTATCGAATCCTCGAATTCTAGATGCCCGGTGTATCTTGAAAATATCAAATTTTTTATTAGAAATGAAAATTGGATGAATTAAACTAGACTTTAATTAAATAGGATTGACTTATTTAAAAATTTTAAAACTTAAATTTGATCTATTATATATTATAAATTTTTTATTAAATTTAAGTCTATCTTTGTATAAGTTTTTTTATTCTGTTAATATTTAATGATTTATTTTGTATTGAAACATTTAAATAAATAAAAAAAGAAAATAATAATAAAAAAATTACATATAATATAAATAGGTATATAAAAAAATAATAAATAAGATGAATTAACCATAGATGTAATTGAGACAACAAATTAATATTATATGTATGTGTATAATATAAATTAAATAATAATAACATGAAAGACTTTAGCAAACAAGTTTTTTTTTAAGAGTATACAGTAAGCACATTCTTTAACTTAAACAAAAAAATTAAAATTTTTAATTTAAAATTCTATTTATTTTAAGATTTATTTTATTTAATATAATATTATATTATAATTTTTATATAAAATTATTTAATATATTATTATAAATTTTAAATAGATTATTTTAATAAACTAATAAACTTTTTCTTAATTTAAGTCTAATCTATTTAATTAATTAAATTTTTTAAAAATTTTAAACTAAGTCTATTATTTAAATAGGATAAATCGGATTAAACTTAAAGGTTAAGCAGTAAATTTTGTCAAATAATTTAGCCTATTTCTATTCCTATTTGTCATGCTTCACAAAATTTTGTATTTGAATTATTAGTAAATTATTGATATTTGTTATCGAAAAAGTGAATTGATTAGTAAGGGTTACTTCAACTTAACCCCTAATTAGTGAGATAAAGCTAATATTGACATAAATAGGAAAGATTAGCTCCCAAATTATTTTTTCCTTAGCTCCAAACTTATTGAAGTTACTTTTTTCTTTAAATTAAGAATTTAAAATATACTTATGTTTGCATAACATTTAAATTTTAAAAGACATGTTTAATTTTAATATATTCATAAGATTCAAATTTTAAAATACAGATTTAGTTATAGTTATAACTTATACGCCTAATATTTTTAAAAATTTGGTTGACTGCACAGAACTAATTACATGATAAAATAAGGTGAGACAATGAAGAATTAATCGTTAAAATTTGTGTTAAATTTTGTAAACTTGATTTTTTTTCATATAAAAAAGTTCAATTAAACTTTACAGTTGGTATTAAAATTTTATTATTAATTAAATAAAATATAGAAAATGTATAACTTTTAAATTAATTTGTAAATGTTCATGATTTTACTGATATGATAATTTATGATTAGATGATAGTGCACAAAAATATTTATATTATCAATGCATTTCAATTAAATTATTTGTTATAGTATTTAATTAAACAATTAGAGTAATAAGATTCACATTTAATAAAAAGATATTAAAAGTATCATTTTACTAAGGTTGGCATTTAATATAATGAGAATACACTGCAATAATTTTTGGCTAAATTATAATTTCCATATTATAACTTAATTTAAGTTTCAATTAAAGATTTTAATTTTTTTTATTCTTAAGTTTTTTTTTTTGTCAAAAATTTTCTGACACTATCTTTCAATTCACTAACTCAAATTATGTTTGTGTTTAATATAGATACGTGTTCGTAATAAAAATAATTAATAATAGAAATGGCAGGAATGAAATTTGGTCAATGATAGCTTTATGATAGTTTGTTCAGTATATAAAAAACAAAAACAAGTGCTAAGTGAATAACAACAGCATGAGGAAAATTTAAGTTTGTATGAATAATTTGAAATTTTTGAATGATGATTTAATAGTAAAATATAGAAAAATATAAATTAAATAAAACTAATTCAAAATATTGTATTTAAAAAATTTCTATTAAACGGAGTTATAGAAATTCAATTTGAGTCAACCTCTAGAAAATTTTTTGTCAAAAAAATTTAGATAAAAATAATCAAAATGTCTCTCATAAATTAAAAAAAAAACTTTTTTTAAAATTTAAATAAATTAAATGAGAACAATATTTATAATTTAAAAAAAAAAGAGAATTATAAATAGTTTTTAACTTATAAAAAAAATTATTATTTTTTATACTCATTTTTTTCCTTGAAAAGACTTCTCTAAAATTTACTT